CCTCCACCGCCCCCCTCCCTCCCCACTCCTCCTCCCCCCCATTTTTTTTTGCAAGATTGCCCTTTGTTTCTTTTTAAGTGTTAATTAAACAAGAGATAACCAACTTCATTCACGAAACTTCCCTACATATCATTAACACTCAACATGCATCTAAACACATGAGCGATCTTTTTGGTGCTAATTGGCATACTTTAATATATATATATCATGAATTTCTTTGTAGATTTTCCATCTTTGTTGATCCGGTGGTTCAATGGGTGGTTCAACCGGTTGACTTACAAACCGTAACCTGAACCAGTTTTTTGATAGGTCCGCATTTGGAAAAATTGCTTGACACGATTACAAAACCCGATTATGATACATGAGCATAAATTTCCAGCTCTAATAGCGATGATGTTGTGATGATGTGGATGTGTGAGTGGCACTAATGATTTGGTAGTTCATTGATGCTGACATCATATTCTGGAGCATAGAGCAAGGCCAAATAGTGGCACGAAGCAAAAGAAGACTAGTAACACATGACTAGGTGAAGTCCGTGGTTTCCAGTGTTCAACTCGGAGAACAATTACTTGTCTAATGAAGGAAAAGATTGGGACGAGTTGTCTCGTCCCGACACGTGAGGTTTTTGTCCATGGTGGAGTTGAGTCGCAATTGGCATTGACTCAACAACGTGATTCTAGGGTTCAAAGTCTTTCGTAGTGGATCGTGGCGGAGACTATCTAAGTGGTTGGTGGTGAGTTTCGATTGAAGGGTTACGTTAGCGAGAGACAAATAAACTAAAGGCCTTCTGTAAATTAGTGGAATGCAATATACAAGTAATTGTGATCATTTATAGAGAACCTAAACTAATATAGAGTAGATATATGATATCATGATTCTAGACATAATCTGACCATATATAACATACACGCGATATTCTGGAAAGATTTGGTAATTTGTGAATGATGTGCATTACAAATATATCTAACAATTTGTAACATTCTTTCATAAATTAATGTTTTTAATCCGATATTACTGTTTAAAGGTCATAGTCCAAAGGACATAAAATAGATATTAGGTGTTAATTTGGAGGGAGGTTTTCGGCTAGTAATTTTGTCAGATATATGGATGTCTCTTTACTTTAACTTTACGCTTTTTCTCTTTTTCGACTTTTAAGAGTTTGAAATCAGGTTTGGTTCAACATCAAACATCTCAAATTTTTAAAACTAGGATAGGGAAATTCCAAGATGGCATTTTAATTTGGTTCATAGCAAGAAAAATTGATTGTAAATATCTTTGGTTGTTGTATGTGTGAAAATGAGAAAACGTGGTCTTCGTCTTCTGCATTATTGCTAGGTATCTAGATTTGATGGTTGAATGTGGAAACAAAGAAGAGTCGAATCAACAAGGGCACGCGATTACGAAATTGTCCACTAAATTCTTGTCCATTTGTCGCATTTAAAAGATAGGCCGAAAAAGTAGAAGGCGATTTACAAGCAGATGCTAATTCTAGAAATGACAGTCATATGCCAAGCGATTCTTGTCCATAAAATGCGCGAGTATTCTTGAGACCAGTTGGAAAGTGAGTTTCCTTCGAAGAAGGTGACCACTTGCAAAGTCCCCAATGCTGGTCACCTTTACACCCACCTTCTCTTAAGATATAATGGTTTTTTCTCACTCGTTCAACTTCAAAAACAGTGCTGAACTTTAACTGTGAGGAGTAAAATTCTTGGAAATTACCGTGCAAAGGAAAAGTGTACTTTGAGGGAATGCAGCTGCCACGAAAGTGAATTAAACGAACTTACGGTGAAATTGCATCTTTTGGTCTCTGTCGCTTCCTCTCGCATTCCTCGACAGTTCTTCTTTTTCTCCCTTTTCTTTTGCCGGCCACTCCCCTTTGTTTCTCTTCTTTTTATCAAAGTTTTCTCTCTTTTGCTGACCATAGCCCTCTCTCTCTCTCTCTCTCTCTCTCTCTCTCTCTCTCTCTCTCTCTCTCTCTCTCTCTCTCTATTCCTCTTCTTTGGTCGTGAAGGAAAAGCTCCACCCTTTTCTTTTTCGAGATCTCTTTGGCAATGATTACATGCTGAAAAATCCCTGGCCCCACTTGGCCGAGAATCCTCTGCTTTTTCATGCCCAGATTTTCTCGTATCCTTTTGGCCGTGAATTCCGGTCCCTGAATGCCGAGATTACTCCCTTCGTCATGCTGGAAACTGCAAGCCTCTTTCCTTCTTCGATTCTCCTTCGCCTTTTCTTCCAATTTCGACGCGCGCAGCTGAACATGACCTTCCTCCCATCTTATGGGTTCAGACTGTCCTGAATGGCCGCGCCTCCTTTCCCTTCATTAGGCCGAGTTATGATTAGCTTAGGGCCGGGCTCGCGCAAGGCTCGGTCTGGGAACCTCAAGTGAGTTCGGGACTCATTGCGCATATCGGGCCATCTATCTGGCCAATCCTAAAGAAACCCATAGCCGGATCCATGCTTTGTTCGGTGCTAATGCTCTGTGCCCAATGCGAAGAAATACAGTAACAACTGCAAATGCAAGAGTATGCAAGATCGATATTTTTGTTTAGTATCAAACCCTATCGAACTCGATCTTAGTTTTCTTATTAAATGAAGGAGAAGTCTTCGGATTAAAATTTAGGCATCAAATGGCAGAAACTAATTTAGTAGTAGCATAGCATATCCAACGCTCACACCACCAGATGCATTATGTCCATCCACGACATAAAAATCTTACATACTCTCGCCAATAAGATTACAGACATAAGTTGATGTATATAGAGTCTAGAGAAATAACTATGAACATTGAGATTTACTAACAACAGAGAGGCAGAAACTTTACTTTTTCATATTCCATAATTATTTTTCGCATAGAAAAATTACTAATTACTAATAGGTAGATACTTTTTCGGTAATAAAGGAGTTACTAATCATACTAATTTTGTATAATTACTTTATTGCTTTTTATACCAAAAAAAAACTTGGATGAAAGCATAGTGGTGTATGGACCAATATACTGTTCCTCTAGATAACTGTCCAAAGCTTCATCCTTAGAACTGAAAATGTGAGCTACACAATTATGTATAACCATCGTTTCTCACATATTAGAAGTGTGAGGAATCAGATCAACATTAGTAGCTAAAGCTCGGAGAAAGTAAAGAACAACCAATTTTCCTTAACGAGCAGAAGACAAGAAAGTGACATTACACGGATGTCGTCCCTCTAATAACTAAAATGCAGATGATATTGAACATTTTAAAAATAGTTTAGGAACATAATCAATTAAAAGATAAGGAATCACGGCATACATTAGACAAATTTAGGGATTTAATTGAATCAATTGTTCGATTAGATAGGACAAGGACAACCCATTAACACAAAAGTTCGAGGACCAGAGGTTTCATTTAAAGATAAATCTCAAGACCTACTTTACTTGTTTTCATATAAAATGTGGAAAGTAAATTTCATCGCACTGGTTGAATCTATATGTACTAAAATGATTGGATGGTGAATAGTGAAATGATGATGTGGCATGATTGGGAATTTAGTTCGATTAAGTTAGTTAGCATTGTTAGGTAGTAAAAATTCATTTTTTTTGTATCAATTTTCTATAGTTATTCAATATTAAAAAGGCAACTTCTCACTCATTTCTTCGTTTGTGAATTTCGAAAGCAAATCTAAATATTCAACCTTGAAAGTTCATTGTGAAAAGGTCAATTCTCACCACCATAATTCATTTATTTAAAAAGGGACTATAATTTGGTATGCAATACCAAATTCTTTTAAATATTATTATTATTATACTACGGCAATTGATGAAATGTTCATTTTGCTTGAGTTCTAACATTTGTCTCACTGATAATACCACACAACCATTTCCTGATTTGTAGTGTTCACAGTTAGTGCATGCACACGTCTTAAAATTTATTCATTGATTTCTCAAGTATTGCTAATGACGTCGAGTCGACGAAGATATGCAAGACCAATTCCTTTTCGAGGTTTTTTCTCCCACATTTTTCAGAATAGTTAATTCATATGAATTCATAGTAACAATCACTAATATGATGTATTAGAGATGTTTACGCAATAATAAGATTTTTCACGTTTATTATTGTTGTTTCCAAGGTGATTGAAAATCACGTAAAATGCTAATAGTAACTGTCGAGAGATGGTTGTCTTGACAGATTGAAGAAAGCTTAGCGAAGTGAGTTGTGTTTGTTCTTCCGGAGGGATCCTTCCCGAGAGCTTTATTGCTTGAAACATCAAGAGCTTCCAATTCATTGAGAAGAGAGAAAAGCCTGCAACGAATACCTACTCAAAAGAAGAGGGACAAAAGAAAAGACTGGCAAAGCCCGAAGTCTTCCTCAATCTAGCATTGCAGGATGATTAACCCTTATTTACCGTGAAAATGTCGTATAGACTTATTACAAGTGACGCGACTAGATAAAATCAATCACAATTATGCTAAAACTTGTGTTTAACAGTGGGACTCGGTATGAAATTCGCACAATTCATGTAATTTGGATGTCCAACGATATTACGTAAATTTTGTATACATCAAACTCTTCGGTTTTTTCTTTTAAATCTTCTCTGATATGGTTAAAATAAAGAAAAGCTCAAAAATCACCTTCACTATGTATCCTGATTTCTCTTTATATTCTTCATTTTTGGCAAAAGAACACTACAAGTGCCATAACTTATGTATGGTGCTCACTTTGGTGTCATAAGTTTTTTTTTATCACTTAAGTGCTAAATTTTTTGAAAAACGATCACTTAAGTGTTAACTCCGGTGCCGTACATAATTTTTCGCCGGAAACCCGACGTGGCATTTTTTTTTTATTAATTTCTGAAGCTGACGTGGCTCGCCGGATATTGGCACTTAAGTGATCGTTTTTCAAAAATTTTAGCACTGAAGTGATCCAAAAAAAACTTTTGGCACTTAAGTGATCGTTTTTTCTCCGATTTGGCACTTAAGTGAGCTGACGAAAACTTTTGGCACTAAAGTGAGCGCCGTACACAAGTTATGACACTTATAGTGTCATTTTGCCTTTCATTTTTAAAGTAGTGGATCTCTGATTTAAAATTTATTTTTAAATGAATGGGACGTTGGAAACTCTTAGGATGACGATCCATTGTTTAATATGTACATATCGCGGTGTGCTTTCATGACATGTCATAACGGTTGCTAATCCAAATAGGCCAAGAGCACCTATAAAGAGAATCGATTCCAAATTTCCCTCTTAAATTATTATTTATCGTTTAAATTCGGACATTAACAGCGTTCCCACTTGCGACTCCCACGCTCTCCACCCACACGCGCCGGTCTCCAAATTAGGCGGGAAGACGGAAGAGCTCGAACCCTAGAATTCTATTTCATCCTCAATTTCAACTGCAATTTGATCTCTCTCCGAAAATGGGCATCAAGGTAGTTCCTTACCTCCGTCTTCTTCAATCCGATCATTTCCATATGATTGTTAATTGAATCGTCCGTTGATTTCGATAGGGGCTGACGAAGCTACTGGCGGACAATGCCCCGAAGGCGATGAGGGAGCAAAAGCTGGAGAGCTACTCTGGCCGGAGGATGGCCATCGATGCCAGCATGAGCATCTATCAGTTCCTCGTTAAGTGCTTTGCTTTTATGGATTGATGCCTGTGATTGATTGCGCGTTTTGGTGTCAGTTGGGATTTTGGATTTTGAGTGGTTGGTGGTTTTTTTTGGGCTTTGATTGGTGGATCAGGTTGTGGTTGGGAGGAAGGGGACTCAGATGCTCACCAATGAGGCTGGTCAAGTCACCAGGTACTACTACTGGCATCGGAATACTTTGTGGAAATGAAAATCCACTTTGCTCAAGTTTCTGTTTTGATGGTTCAGATGTTATCGCTTGGACTCGGTTTTATGTATGTGATCTTTATGCTTGGGAAGTGTTGACTTGGAGCTGCTTTTTGATTTGTCTTCTCGTGTAGTCATCTGCAAGGCATGCTTTACCGGACGATTAGGCTGTTGGAAGCGGGGATACAGCCAGTGTAAGTCTTTTTCTTTACCTCCTTTGTTTTCATTGGGATAGAATGCTAAGAAGAGTGAAGCTCATCTTTCTCTGAATTATGCTTCGATAGCTACGTGTTTGATGGTAAACCTCCTGATTTGAAGAAGCAAGAGCTTGCAAAACGGTACTTTATTATTATGTAGCCTTCTGTTCTCTCGTTTTTTTAAAGTATCTATAAATACGTTTAGTTACCTTTAATGAGTCTCTAAGCAGTTTTTTGAAGGGGGCAGATGCCTCTGAGGAGTTGGCATTAGCCATTGCGGTACGTGCATCTCTCTCTCTCTCTCTCTCTCTCTCTCTCTCTCTCTCTCTCACGCAGAGAGTACAAAAAGGCTTAGTGAACTCTGTATTTATTGCCTGCAGTCTCAGAACAAGCAAGACATAGAGAAATTCAGTAAAAGAACTGTGAAGGTTTGTCTTTTTTTGGATCACTTCCTTACAGTGCGATCTTTTTGTCCTGTTCGATGTGAAGTTTGATTTTGTCTTTGTTTTCCAGAAAAACCTATCTACGTAGCTAACTGGGTGTGTGGACTTGTGGTACATGGCTTTGATACCCTTGCAGGTGACACAACAGCACAATGAAGATTGCAAAAGACTACTAAGACTTATGGGTGTCCCACTAGTTGAGGTTACTATTCTGTCTGAAAAGTTTGTTCTTTTTTTTTTATATTTCTAACAAAAAGTTCAGATATCAAATTCAGTTTTTGTATGTTAGGCTGCACTTTGCAAAGCTGGAAAGGCAAGTATCTTCCTGTTTGATCGTCTTCTGATCTAGGATAGTTCATTGTTTCCCATGATAACCAATCGTTTAACTCTATGTAAATTACCTTCTTGTTTCCATGATTTAATTTCCTTGTTCACTGAGCTTATGTTTGTTCACTTGTCTAATGTCTTCTTCGGCATAGTCACTTGTTTCCTCGAAAGAAGTTTTTACGGGATCCACTGAACTTATGCTTTTTCACTTGTCTAATGTCTTCTTCTGCGTAGTCATTTACATTTGGTACGTTCTTTACTAAATCATCTTTGTCCAAGGAATTTTCGCTGACTTTGAATTCCTATCATTGCTTAATTGTTGTGCGGTAACCAGAATTCATCTATCACGAATGGTGTTTTAGATGTAATTTTTGTTTTTCAGGTTTATGCAGTTGCTTCTGAAGATATGGATTCCCTTACTTTTGGAGCTCCTAGATTTCTTCGCCATTTTATGGATCCCAGCTCAAGAAAAGTTCCAGTCATGGAATTTGAAATTTCCAGGGTACTTAGAAGAGTTTATTCATTGCGATTGCTTAAATTTTTTTTTCTCACTTTCATGACTTTTAGATCTTGGAAGAGATGAATCTGGATATGGATCAATTCTCTTATCTTGTCCCCCGACTTGTAAGCAAAATAAGGCAGCAAAGTTTCTCACTGTAATTGTCTTGGCTGCTGATTCCTTCACTTAAAAGAATTATCTCTCAAACTCAGCTGGAGCGGAAATAGTTGATCAACACTTTGAAACTGAAAGATCATTTGCCACCAATAGATTTGGGCTGGCAATCAGTGCATCAACCATGCTACTTCATGTGTTGATTTACTATAATACTTTTATCTATTATGATGTCTGCTTTGTCTATTCTTTCACTCTCACTCGAACAAAATTCTTTTCTCTATCCTTAAGATCCGGAGGTTCTTTGCATTACTTGGAAGTCTTTATTCAGTTCAGTTATCCTTCTTAAGGAAATGTTTGCTTGTTTTTTGAATAGGTATCAGATACCCGATAATTGGCCCTATGGCGAAGCTCGACTGCTTTTTAAGGAACCAATAGTTTCTACGGAAGAACAACCTGAGATAAAATGGACTGCTCCAAATGACGAAGTGGGCCATTTCCATGTTGGGATTTACTTGCAACATTTCACTTTTGAATTCTTGACTCATTTCCTAATTGATTTTTCTTTCCCTTTCAAGGGCTTAATGTCCTTTCTAGTGAATGAGAATGGGTTCAACATTGACAGAGTGACAAAGGTATGGCTTCTATCTTCAGTAATGTGTTGGTCAGTTGCCTACTCGAGGAAGTTGCTTCTTTTCCTCTGGAGGAGAGAGCATACATGTTTTCAATGTTGTTTTACCATGTGCAGCAGACGATAGAGAAGATTAAGGCAGCTAAGGATGAGTCATCACACGGTAACTAAAGCGTGAATAAATGAAAGTGACTTCCAAAATGCACTTTCTTTTAAAGTCTCTTTATGTTTATTGTTAATATTATTGGGCCTAATTAGTTGGGCCTAGTTTATTTATCTAGTTGTCTTAGGGTTGAGGCCCATCTCTTCCCTATATATATTGTATCTTTTTCTCTTTTCAAAGGAGTAGAAATGATTATTCTTTCTCTCAACATGGTATCAGAGCCTGAAGCCGTAACCTAGCGCCCCTTCTTTTGAAACCTGCTGCCGTCTTCTTCTTCCCAGCAACCTGCGTCCCTACGTTCCTCCTCTTCGCTATCAACCTGTAGCCTCTCCATCTCCAGCAACCTCCGGTACCTGTCGGCTGCTACTCTTCTCCCTACTGTTGCTGTTGGCAGCCCCTTCTTCCTCCCATTGCTGTCGGCAGCCTTCATGCATCGTGCAGTGATAGCCTAGACCTCTCCATGCCCTGTCCAGTGCTTTCCGAGAGCCTCCTTGCTACCGACCAGCCTTGATATTTTCTGGATCATTCCTTATATGATCTAAATCCTTTTTTTTTATACAACCTATCATCTGAGACCATGTCAGAGACAGAAAAAGCTTCGGACTCTCTTGGAGAATTGACCCATAGTGCTCCTGGTGTTTATCCCTCTTTTCCAATAAATCCCATCAAGTTAGATGGCTCCAACTATCTGATTTGGTCTCGCTCTTGCTACCTTACCATTGTTTCACGTGGTCTTACCGGCTACCTTACCGGAGAGAGCGTGCAACCTACTACCGGAGATGATGCTATCCGCAAGTGGATCTCCGAGAATGCCTTGGTTATGGCTTACCTTGTCAATTCAATGACTGACTCTATCGCCCGTGGCTACTTATTTTTGGACACAGCAGCCAAGATTTGGGAGGCTGCTAAGGACACTTATTCTCAAGTGGGCAATGATGCCCAAATCTATGAACTCCAGCAAAAAATTCATGAAACCAAGCAAAGGGAGCTGTCCTTTATCTCAATATTATTCTGAGTTACGTAGTCTATGGCATGAACTGGATTTTTATGATGATTTTCATCCTACCAACCCTCTTGATGCTGCTGCCTTTCGGAAAAGGGTGGACAAATTTCGTGTTTTTGAGTTCCTAGCAGGTCTTAATATGGAGTACGATCAGATTAGGGCCCAGATCTTGTGTCGTGTGCCTTTCCCGACCTTGGAACAATCCTATGCCGTGATCCATCTAGAGGAGAAGCGTCGGAGCGCGATGCATCAACCCGTTGTCCCAGAGCGCTCTGCCCTTTATACTATTGCTGGAAGCGAATCTCGCAGTCGTTCTGGCAATGACAAACAGATTGTGAAGTGTGATTATTGTGGAAAAGAACGTCACACCCGTGAAACTTGTTACAAACTTCACGGACGCCCTTCCAATGCTGGCCGTGGCCGCGGACGGGGTCGTACCGGGCCTCAGGTGCACTTAAGTGAGGCCCCAGGTCAGCAACCAGCTGCTCCATCAGACTCTTTATCTGCTGCTGAGTTGACTAGTCTGCGCCTCCTCTTAGCACGCAACGTAGACAACCCTGGCACCTCCACATCATCGGCCTTGGGCACTTTGACCTCTAATTTCGCACAGTCAGGTAGTTTTTTCGGTGGTTTATGTAAATCTTCTCAACCGTGGATCCTTGATTCGGGTGCCACGCATCATATGACCGGAGATATTACATTTTTTGCTGATTATTCTCGTCCTCCTAAACCTGATTGTGTTACTGTTGCTGATGGTTCTTTAGCCCCTATCACCGGCCAGGGCTCGGCGTCTATTACCCGTGATATTACTCTATCATCTGTTTTACATGTTCCTACAGTTTGCACTAATCTCCTATCAATCGGTTCCCTGACTCGTGATCTGAAGTGCAAAGTGGTTTTTTTCCCATCTTATTGTATTGTTCAGGACTTGGCAACGGGTCGGGAGATTGGTCGTGGTAGAGTAGAGGGGCGCTTATATGTGTTCGATTCACCACCATCAGCTCATCTTGTCACTCCAACTCCCTTGGCTACCCTATCTGAGCTCCATGTTTGGCATCGCCGTTTCGGACATCCACCGCTTGGAACTTTAATGAAGATTTTTCCAGATTTAGTTGACAAATGCAGTAGTCAAAATTTCTTTTGCGATTCTTGTGTTCTAGCAAAACAAACTCGTGTCACTTATTCTTCTATTAATAATAAAAGTGATGCACCTTTTGCTCTTGTGCATTCGGATGTTTGGGGCCCTGCCCGTGTTTCCTCCATTTCAGGTCACCGTTGGTTTGTGACATTTATTGATTGTTGTACCCGCACTACTTGGGTTTATTTACTGCAACAGAAGAGTGATGTTTTCCAATGCTTTCAGCAGTTTTTGGCAATGATTCAGACACAATTTGATGGCAAGCTTCGTATTCTTCGAAGTGACAATGGGACAGAGTACACCAGATCAGATTTTCAGGCTTTTTTACATGACCGTGGTATTCTCCATCAGACGAGCTGTGTTAATACTCCTGCGCAGAATGGTGTGGCGGAACGCAAGAATCGCCACCTCTTGGAGGTGGCTCGTTCCCTCATGTTTGCCATGAATGTTCCAGCTCAATATTGGAGTGATGCTATTTTGAGTGCAGCTTATTTGATCAATCGCCTCCCATCACGCATTCTCCAATATCGCTCTCCTATTGAGGCTCTTACTGGTTCCCATAAGTTTTTGGTCCCTCCGAAGGTGTTTGGGTGTGAATGTTTTGCTCGTATTTTTCACCCGGCCAGTAAGCTTGCCCCTCGCAGTATCAGGTGTATTTTTTTGGGCTATTCTCCCACACAGAAAGGCTACAAGTGCTATTGCCCTTCCACTCGGCGCTATTTTATTTCCATGGATGTTATCTTTCATGAGTCTCAGCCGTTTTACTCGCGGACACATCTTTAGGGGGAGTCTACTCATGGTGAAGATGTGTCCTCCAGTTTGGATGTGATACCCTTGCAGGGGGAGTTAATTTCTGACATTTCTGGTAAAAAATCAGATGCTACAGCTACTGCCAATACAGAAAACACAGCCCCACCAGCAGCTCCAGTAGACTCAACTAGTGCTAAAAATCCTGATTCTGTCAATGCAAAAAATTTAGCAGAAGCCACTCCGATTCAGGAACAGTTTCGGTACCTGATTGTGTTCCACCGACAGAATTTTCGTGAAGCCCCCTCTATCACTACTCTACTCTTCGACCAATCTCCTCCTGCTAGTCCTATAACCGCAGTTCCAGGTGATGGCACCTCCTCTCAAATTATTGATAATGACGATACAACTAATGACTTACCAATTGCACTTAGGAAAGGCAAACGTTCATGTACGCAGCATCCCATATCCAATGCTGTGTCATATGATAGATTGTCTTCATCCTACCATGCCTTTTCTTTATCTCTAGTGTCCACAGCTGTCCCCAAAACATGGCAAGAGGCCCTAGCTAACGAAAAGTGGAAGGAGGCTATGTTAGAAGAGTTGAGAGCTCTTAAGAAAAATGATACTTGGGAGTTAGTTCATCTTCCCCGAGAAAAAAGTACCGTCGGATGCAAGTGGGTATTTGTTGTCAAACAAAAGGCCGATGGAACCATTGACCGCTACAAAGCTCGTTTGGTGGCCAAGGGGTACACCCAAACCTATGGCCTTGATTATACTGAGACATTCGCACCGGTTGCCAAGATGAACACATTAGAGTTCTTATCTTATGTGCTGTCAATCTTGGATGGGACTTACAGCAACTGGATGTGAAGAATGCATTCCTTCACGGGGAACTTGAAGAAGAGGTGTATATGGACATTCCCCCAGGTTATTCTGGCCCGAAGACAGAAGGTCGAGTGTGCAAACTCAAGAAGGCATTATATGGCTTAAAACAGTCCCCTAGAGCTTGGTTTGGGCGATTTCAAAGGGCTATGATTGTTTTTGGTTATACTCAGAGTAATGCTGATCATACCTTATTCATCAAACAATCAGGTACTCAGGTTGTTGTTCTCATTGTATACGTCGATGACATTGTAGTGACGGGGAATGATGCAGTCGAAATTTCTCGTCTTAAACAATATCTGGGGAGAGAATTTGAAATTAAAGACCTAAGAGCTATTCGGTATTTTCTAGGTATCGAAGTCGCTCGATCTGAAAAAGGAGTATTTCTCTCCCAATTGAAGTATATTCTGGATCTTTTGGCTGAGGTTGGGATGCTTGGATGCAAGCCGGCTAAAACCCCTATTGAGGCCAATGGCCACTTGCAGTCTAAAGAGGGAAAGCCCGTTGATAAAGGAAGTTACCAACGATTGGTAGGTCGCCTAATTTATCTCTCCCATACTCGACCTGATATAGCATATGCAGTGAGCTTGGTGAGTCAATACATGCACGATCCATACTCCTCGCACCTTGAGGCGGTTCATAGGATTCTTCGTTATTTGAAATCTGCTCCAGGGAAAGGGATTTTATTTGCACCCCATGGTCATCTTTCTGTGGAGTCTTATACGGATGCTGATTGGGCTGGATCTTTGGATGATAGACGATCTACTTCCGATTACTGTAATCTTGTTGGAGGTAACCTAGTCACCTGGCGCAGTAAAAAGCAAGCTGTGGTTTCCCGCTCAAGTGCCGAGGCAGAATTTCGTGCTATGGCTCAAGGAGTTTGTGAACTACTTTGGCTTAAGACCCTTCTCGCTGATCTCGGAGTTGTTGTTCCACAGCCAATGCGACTTTATTGTGACAGCAAGTTTGCTATAAGCATTGCTCATAATCCGGTACAACATGATCGCACCAAGCACGTGGAGATTGATCGTCATTTTATAAAGGAAAAATTGGACTACAACCTCATCAACTTGTCCTTCGTTGTCTCTAAGGATCAGCTTGCTGACATCTTCACCAAAGGCTTGAACGGGCGCACGTTTCATACCATTCTCTGCAAGTTGGGCATGTCTAATATCTATGCTCCAACTTGAGGGGGAGTGTTAAAGTCTCTTTATGTTTATTGTTAATATTATTGGGCCTAATTAGTTGGGCCTAGTTTATTTATCTAGTTGTCTTAGGGTTGAGGTCCATCTCTTCCCTATATATATTGTATCTTTTTCTCTTTTTAAATGAGTAGAAATTATTATTCTTTCTCTCAACACATCCGATGATTCCTCATTTATTTTCTACAGATTAGAATCCTTCTTTAAGCCAGCTAAGAATCTATCTATACCTGCTAAGAGGAAGGTATGTCATCTTGATATATTTGAGTACTGAGCACCTAGAATTTACCTTCTTTTAATGTATGTGAAGGTGTAATGTCACACATTGCTCTAGCAAAGAGATGTCTTCAGATGCAACTTTTGATGGATGAATAGTACTCCCTTTAACTCACTTCATAAGCCATTGATTGCCCTAGCGATGTGCAAATTTTTAGATCTTTGTGATCATTTTTAAACTGTTGGTGGTAGTGTTGTAAATCAACGGTAGTGTGTTGCCATGCCCCTGCTGCTTATGCCCAATTAGTCTCATATAACTTTACAGATGTGCTAATGGTGTTGCATCATCCTATTCATGAAATCAATTAGATAAACAAAAGCACCAGCGTGCTTATACGGATCTGTTAAGAATTTCGGCCTGATTAACAACCATAATTGCAATGGATGACAGGAAAGCAAATGCACACTTCAATCCCCCAATCTGGCGTTCAAGCCTAAGACATGCTCTACACAAGTCTCTGTAAATCTCCAGCACAGGTTCCTTGGCAACTTTAAAATGCCAACCATGGTCCTGGGTTTGAGGAACTTCAAACAGCCGTTGAGAGTTGTCTGCCTCCCGACATGGAGCTAAATGATGGTGGATGTAAGAACCCTATTTATTGAGCAAGTCCTGACTTGTAGATGCTGTTTTTGCCCATTGTTGGAAGCAAGTTGATGCTTTCCTTTCCTAAAAAACGGGTAATGTCTTATGGTACTGCAATTTTGGAAGAGATTTGTATAAATTTTTATTAGATGGATGAAGTTTGCTCTCTATGCTAGAATGAGATTGGTACTTCTTGTCGGGCAAATTGCATTTTAGTGTTCATTTTACGATCTGTATATGTCACTTATACAATGTGTATATTATTGTCATCCGTGCAATAGGAAACCCCTGAATATATTGCCAAAGCAGCAACTAACAAGAGTTCCAGGCTGGTGGTGGTAAGAAATAGTTTAGTTGGCACATAACAGATCATGGAACAGCAAAACCATCGACATCTATGTCAGGTACTTGTGAGTTTCCCAATGGCGATTCTTCACAATTCTTGATTTCAATTTCTCTCTTAAATTTCCCCGCTTGGAATTGTGATATATGCGTCGTTATGTTTCTTGCCTTATCCAGGAGGTTTGCATGCAAATTACGAGTGGAAACTTGATGTCAGTTTGTAGTCTCATGCAGTCTTTGCTGGATACCATCATATCATGGAAGGTTTATGGGTGCTGAATGCTGATTTAACTTTCATTCATGACTACTTGTTTATCTTGTTGGACTAATATCGTGTGTTTCATGTGTAAGTTTCTTAGTGCGCATACATTTGATGGGTTGACTGATAACTCGGAAGATGGAGATACGAAACTACACCAGCTTGATATCGAATAGTTAGTAGATGACTTCGATTTGTTGCCACTTGTGTTACTAACAAATCATATCAAAACTCCAATTACAAATTTAACTTGTTTATTGTCTCTTACATCGATATCCAAATTAACAAATTACATAGCATAATTTAGGAGGATTATTTCGAAACACCATAAGAACATTATCATGTTAGGAACTGAAAATTGGATGCTAGAAAGAGCCAACAATCATAAAATAAATTTGCATGGAGAAGCAGAGGAATTACCAAGAAACTGGAATTAGCTAATGCATGCAAAATTTAAATGGACATATAGTATACTATAGCTTATAATGCATATAAGTAAATTGTAATATGATCTTTAATCAGATCATATATTTTATTTATTTGTGTAGTATAAATCCTATCATCTATTGGGTCATTTACCTATGTGTATAGTACATTAAGGTAAATGAAAATTCAACCATTGATTTGGTCCACCTATATTTGTTGATAGAGTATATGCCACAGTGAAAATGGTTAACTCACATGGTAGGTGTAAGAGCCCAGTTACATTGTGCATATTTTGCAAATGATCGAGTCCTAACTGCTTTATCTTTAGGTCACATGTAAATCAAAATCTATATGGAGTTCATTTGCATTGACCGTCTCAGTTTCTGCCTGAATCAATCTCTCAAATCACATTGTATGTCATAATCTTACATTTTTAAGCAGAAGCTAAAGGTAACTGCCAAGAGTAGTGGCCAATCCTCAAACAGCCTAACCAATCTTCGCCTCAACATTCTTCGATACAAACCCTGAACCCATGGGGTCCAACTACTAGAAGCCATTCTTGTTGCCATTTTGTTTGCTAAAGCTGCATCATCCACCAAGTAAGGTACTATATATTTTTGCATGTCAGCAAGAGAGATCTGGAGATGGTTCCTAGAGACATTGATGAATTTGACTTTCCCAGCTTCATCTAAGGTCTTCAATCCAATCCAATCCTTGGTGTAAAGCTCGGTCTGCAGGAAATGCATCGATTAGATACATTTCTGTTTTTTTTTTTCAATCCAATCCAGTCCTAATGGTAAAAGGATGCAAATTGTAGCAGAGTAAGGGTAAAAGCATGTTATGACGAGCTTACACCACAGCGACAACACAATATCACAATATGTTCGTTCGCCCATTCTCTTTTGTCCATTTTTCTCGTGTAAATGCAATTTTCCTTCGATTATCGACTTGTCAATAGTTAATGCTCAATGATGAAATGAAAATCATAAATCACTACCAAAAGTAATTCCAGACCATGTCATGGATATACACCTCCTACACCCTAAGATTGTAGAGTAAGAGCTCGGTAAAGATAATGCTTTCACAATCCTCAGTATTACTTTCAACATGGTTAATCATTCATATCTAGGGCTTAGAAAATGTTTCAGCTTGTTCTTTGTTACATTTCTTGGTTGACTGTGCAAAGTGCAATAAAACAAGTTGATTCCAAGTCAATATCAATGTTACCAGAGATTTTATATATTCTACACCCTTGATTTTTCACATATTTATGTGCGTGCAAGTCCTCGAGCAAATTCTTAATTATGGAATCAGTTTGAGGACAGAAAATAATCTCAAAAGAATGGAACCTTTCAAAATGCATGCTTTCTGAACCACAAGGAGATTCCACCCTCATCCACCATAAATACTTTACCGCAGCTTTTCAGCGACCATTAGTATCACCCAAAATCGCCATGATTCAATGGCATCGATAAAGACACTGATAACTGCATTTCAAGGTAACGCAGCAATTACCTCCTGGGTAGACAAAATAGTATCAAAAGTTTCATCTAGATAGTATACGAACTAGGATGTTTCCTTTGGTATCAACACAGTGTCTTGCTCAAACTAGAGGGACATAAAAAGAGTTAGCATCACAAAGCTGCAAAAGACAAGGATCCAAAATCAACAACATATACAAAACTAACCATAATAAGGACTAGGTTCTGCAAGTTAGCAAATCTTTCCTTGTAGGTTGAGTTTCTGTAATCCACGAGATCAATATTTACTTTTGGGAGAAACCTGCAGCCTTTTAGACAGTTAGCAAGGTCCTGCAGAAACGAAAGGCAATTCATGCATTGCTTAATTGAAATAACATTTACTTTGTGACATAATAGCGAGTGAAATGAGATTTTGCATTGAGAAATAACATCAAACATATGAAACTAAAAACAGGGAATCTATGAAAATATGCATTGCTCCTGTGTTATACAAAGAGTATTGTCGGCCACGCCTATTTTGGAATGCTTATAAAATTTTTTGACAGGATAATATAGTAAGATGTACAAAATTAGGACCATCGAGAAGATATAAACAAAAAGTCATCCTGTTTAAATATTTTCTCTATTAACACAAAATCATAGTTATGGTTGTATCTTCACATAACCAGCGAGTGCCAAGTGCTCCTGTGATTGTATGAAGGTTTCCGAACAAAACAAGAAGATGCAGCTAGTGAAGTATAAAAGAAGAGAGAAAATTAGGTTGGCGCAATATTTCAACAGTGGACATGTAAAGAAGCTACTTGTTGAAGGTGCAGAAAAAGTAGCCTGGATAAAACTTTGAGCAACACTATCTTCGGGTATCGTTATAGTAAAAGGGTAATGTGAATCAGGAAATGACTAGTAAGACCAAGCCAAACTTGGACATAGTCAGAGTAGACCCCTATTAGCTCAATCAAATAGTTCACAAGAACGCAGAAGATACCGGACTGTAAAAGAAGGAAAAAAAAATCAAACTGCAGTGATATAAGCAAACTTCAGCCCCCATAAGACCTCAACCAAGAGAACACTAGAGAATGGCATATCCTAATGCCTAATCAATCTAAAACCACACCAGAAACGCCTGTCATGTACAAAAATATTTGCAAATAAATATAGGAAAGACTTGAAAAAATGATTTTTTTTGCCCTTGTCATGGACAATTCTACCGGAGAGAACTGCTCTCAAATAGCCAAACAGATTCTCAAAGGCTTCTGTTCATGAGTCACTATAACCAATTTCAGCGGGCCTCATCAAGTATATGTTCAAATGAAGTCAATCCTCAGCAGCTCTTTATTAACAGAAAAGAAGAAACATGAGAAACAATCCAAATGAGTCTTATTTTGAAAGCATAACATTATCTATGTAAACATAACCATAGCCTCTGCTTTGCCTATAGTAATATTACATATTCAAATGATCGCTAAAGTTCCACAATCTCTGCAAAACGTGTCCCGTCAAAGTAAATTTGAATTCTGAGGAGAACGTGCGTGCAATGCCTTTCTCACTTGGCACTTTTGATAACTCCTACTCCCCTAGAAAAAAAAAAGAAATATTGTTAGCACTTGGCATTATCACATGCAAAGTCACGAAAACAACAGAAGAATCTTCAATTGACACCTCTATGGTAACCAATCAGGGATAAGCTGATCTCGTGTGATGATGATAATGATGATCGTAGATAAAACAGTCGTCTAATTAATTCCCCTAAAAAAGAACAAAACTCGGAGAAGTTATTTGATAAGGATGCATCTTATACGTGATCCTTCTGCACCAAGTAATCTCAAAGGCAGACATGGACTGTACACACTCCTATGGGTACATCTTCGAGTTTCAAGCCCTCAACAAGAATAATTTCTTGCAGCTTTACCGTAGTGTCAATTTCTTGAACCTAGACTTCATATGAGAATGCAACGATGTGAAATCCGGGCAAAATCACCAACACTAGTTTAGGTCTAAGATGGCAATTCAGCAATGAAACATGGTCATCCTTAACTTTGATGGGGAAGTTTGTCATACGTCAAATCAATTTCTTACCCAGCTTTCGAGGAAGATACGATGGGATGGGATCAAATGATCATATGAGGTAACAGACAGGTAATCAATTCATGCATCGAATAGCACAGACTATGTCATGCAAGATTGCATCTCAATCTCAGACATGTAATAATCTACAAGTTGCAGAAGAAGAAAGAAAATAGATGATCAAGTTGCACTATTTCTCAAGAGGGAGGTTTAGTGAAAATTGAACCTGTGTAGTGCTCAAAAAGCCTGATAGCAACATATGCTTGAGCGTTTTCTTACACAACCATGTCTTTAGAGATCAACCGAATATCATGTGTTCATGTTGACAGTTATTACAGCACCATACTACGACTCATGTGTCGGCAAGGAGAAAATCAAATAAGATGAAAGTATGCATTTGTTGCCATGCCTAGGAAAAATAACATTTGCTTGTAGTGAAGCTGCAAGTAAAAATTGGTGGTAATAGAAAAGGTAGCTACCTAATAGAGAAATATATCCTAACATGGTTTCTGGGTAACGATTAGGAAACATCATGAAGTACACTATAAATCAGTGAGTCTTGGTAAAAGGTGAAGATAAGATGAAAATGAAGCAAACCACCAAACACACACAAACAAAAAAGAGAAAAAGAAAAGAGAAAAAGAGCTTTCTCACTAAGATTGCATCATAATAATAAAAAGGGACGAATCCTACCAAGTTTAATTTCTATGTTCTCTACCAACCATTTTGCTCCATCTCTCACGAATTCCACATGGCTCGTGTCGAACTCTTTTTCGTACATAAGCCATCTGAGAACAAAACATAGCACAAATCTAATTTGTCCTTCCAATCATAGTACTCACTAGTACCACAGTATACTAAAATACTCAGATGAGTGCTCCAATAGCACATGCATGGGTGACATGATTTCCAACAATTTGGAAATCCCACATTAGTTCAGCTTACCATGACCCACAAAAGGATGCTTAGGAACTGAAGTTTACCTGGCAGTATGTAGGATTCTGAACAACACCCATCCCACACCCTTGGGAATAGGTAAAGACTCCATTACTTCAGCTGCAGGAAATAGTCCATGTCATTCTTACATAATTGGTTGGACATATCAATATATTTCAATCTCAAAGTTGTCGGATCAAATATTAGTAAGTGCCCAATTATATTCTTGAAAATAAAAAGGAAAAATCCAAGGGCTTGTTCTCACACCAAGACAAGTATTCTACTTGGTCCATTACAAAATTGACCATATTAGAATCTAGCTAGAAGAACTAGTGTATTGCCAGCAATGGTCACTACTGGGACAACTAAATTGTGCAAGAATTTTACTTCTGAAAGGAATAAATACTCCCAATATTCTCAAATAGCTCATATTTCACCTGAAAACAAAATATAGTATATCCATAGACAATAAAACAATAAAAGTTGGCAAATATGACATGCCAAGCCCTAACACACAAATGACTAACTAAAATGGACATGGAAAATGCAGCCACTATTATGAAGCACCCAAGTTTCCAGCAAATTGGTCAAGCCATCAAACCTACTAATGATGATAATGACGATGACAACAACAATAATTTGGCAGTCAGCATGTAATTTTGAAAGCAAAGTTAGAACCTAGCATTATTATTGCAAATGAGTGAATTTGAGAAACCACACCACTCTTCTTACACAAAGGTCATCTAATGTACTTTATCTTCTAACATTTTTTTCTTTTTTGTATTTTGCTTTTGAACCTTATCCATAATTCTACATGCAAAAGAAAAGAGGAATAGATTCAACGGATCGTACATGCCCAAAGTGAGGATATTGCCGTTCCACACCGTCAAGATTCAACTCCCTATGCCCTTCAACGAGCGTGAACACAAACTTCTCTTGAAATGTGAGGTTTTTACCACCGTCTGCACACCAAATCAAATCAAATCAAAACTAAGATGTCCATTCGCACAGTATGCCCATTTAGCTCAACGCCAGAAACTTCACCCATCAAATCACCGTAACGAAACTTCATATCCAGATTCGAACAGGGAAAGAGGCAATTGCGCAAGCATTTGGCATACAATTTAGAATTACCAGTTGCAAGTTATGGTGCGAAACTTGGTGTTGCCATATTCCAACCAGCACCGATGGGGCTCCTAGAGGCGATGGCGGAGGCGGAAGTAGGGGTGGAGGCCGCGGCGACCCGCCGAAGCATGCAGCGAATCTAGGAATCGAAGCCGCCAATGGGAATTCTGTGTATGACGGCGGGTGCGGCGGCAACATTTGAGGTATCACCTCCAAACTCTCCATTATCATAGATTCTCCGCTCCTTTAAAGGCCCCAAGTGGTTTAGACCTTGCACTCTTTTTAGATTACGACAATTTATTACCTTGAGCTTCCGTAGCTCTTTCAATTTCGATAGGTCTGACATCCTCTCCATGGAAGGGCAACGGATGACTGATAGGGAGCGAAGGGATCTCAATTCTTCAAGGCCACGAATCTCGACTAATGAACGGCAAAATCTCAGACTTACCTCGCATAGATTCTTCATGCACGACAGATCAAGTACTTCCAGAAGGAACTCACAATCATCCATCACTAATATTCTCAATCTTTTCATTTCTGGCTGCGACGGTGAGTCCAGTTTTCTAAGCTTACAGAGCACCACACGGAGTTCCTCCGACTCCGCATCAAATATACTCGAGAGTTTTAGCGAACACTGATAGAATTCCAAGAATGACAAGTTTTTCAAATTGGAAAAATCCGGCGATCGTGTGGTCTCTAGATCTCGAAGTTGTAACTCTCTTAAACTTGACGGGAGCCGGGGGAGGAATTGCACGTATTTGCAAGACAATGATAGTGTTTTAAGCAGGGATAGGGTACCGATGCTAGTGGAAAGAGTGGTGACAAGTGTTCCCTGTTGAGATAGGGCATCAATTCTAGTGGGGAAGGGGAGGGCTATCAAGGAGGAATACCCGAAATAAAAAGGGCTCCATATCAGCCAAGTCAAACTTGGGGGAAGCTCTAGCAATTGTTTCAGCTCGGGACATTTTTCTAGCTTAAGTATTTGGAGATTAGAGAGGTGACTCACTGTGGTGGGTAATCCAGATATACGTGTGTCTGACAAGTCTAGGATTCTCAAACAGGACAGTCTCCCAATTTCTTCAGGGATTTCACCGGTCAAGTTCCAACATCCTCGAGCATCTAACTCTTCAAGCTTCTCCACCAGCCCAATCGCACTTGGTAATTTTGTTATCCCTCTTATGCCGCTCATCCTTAGTACTTTTAGTTGCTTTAGATTGCCGATTGAATCAGGTAGGTGACCAATACTTGTCAATG